TGTGCCTGATGAAGTAAGACTCCAACATTGAAGTTGAAACCTTGTGTGCCTGATGAAGTAAGACTCCACCATTGAAGTTGGGTTTCAACTTCAATGTTGGAGTTTTACTTCATCAGGCACACAAGGTTTTGTGGCTAATTTTTATTTCTTACTCTTTACATCAGAATATGAGAAAAAATCCTACGAAATATATTTTTATTGACTGGCTAAAAACTAAACTAAACTATTAAAACATCTTTTTATACTCACAATAAATGTGAGATTATAAATAAAATAAATGAAAATAAAATACACAGACGTGTTTCCATACGTTGTTTGTGGGTTTATTTGGTGCAAGCTTTCAACTTCAATGGTGGAGTCTTACTTCATCAGGCACACAAGAGAATTTTTTCAAGTTTCTTCACAAGTAGAAACCAATTCTTTCTCTTCTCGAAGAGAAACTTATATGATAATTGTTATGTTTTATTTAGATTTTCTCCTTTAATTAGACAAAAACGACCATGGTGACATTAAACTAGGATATCAAGAACAGGTTTTACAGACGTACTATTGACTAACAATAAATTGTCTGTTTTTATCCGAAAATATTAACAACGTATTTTTTCTTTATTTTGTTCTTCATTGATAACTGTCGTGGGCAGTTTTTGTACTTTCTTCTTTTCTGCACATTTTAAAATTAAATTATTGATAAATGTATGCCAGTTTACAAGACTACAGATCTTGTGTTACATCCCCACATAATAAGCCAGTTTTACAAGACTACAGATCTTGTGTTACATCCCCACATAATGAGCCAGTTTTACAAGACTACAGATCTTGTGTTACATCCCCACATAATGAGCCAGTTTTACAAGACTACAGATCTTGTGTTACATCCCCACATAATAAGCCAGTTTTACAAGACTACAGATCTTGTGTTACATCCCCACATAATAAACCAGTTTTACAAGACTACAGATCTTGTGTTACATCCCCACATCATTAGCCAGTTTTACAAGACTACAGATCTTGTGTTACATCCCCACATCTTGTGTTACATCCCCCAAGACTACTGTGTGAACTGTTGGGAAGTTCTTTTGTATGTGTATTTCCCCTTTCTATTTTCGGATAGTGAACCAGAATTCCACATTTAAGATGCTTTTCCAAACTATGTATTTATAGCGTGAATGATACTTTATGTGACACAGGGCTAAACGGCTAGGTCAACGACCCCTGAGGTTCAAGAATAGCCATTCCTGATTTCCAACGGCTGACCAGTTGTAAAAAAATCAGTCGGCATCACCCGTCATCTTTACAGCTACTCTTAACTGAAAGTGTGGTTTGTTTTCAGCAGCATATAGCATCTTGAACTTTGAACCTTTCGATACACAGCCCGCTATGCTAACATCTAGGCTACTCCCCAGCCGCCCACAATAAGTAGTTGTACATATTCGTTTAACCTGTCTGAGAGCTACATAAAACGTAGAAGTTAAAGGTGAAGGTTTTAATAAAAAATATCAGATTTCCGTTTATTTGATACTTCTTTGTATCTTCTGGAGACAAATGGGAAGTGTTGTAATTGTTTTAGATTCAGCCCTATTTTCATGTCATTGTCATTTTAGAACCTCAGTAGACAGTCATGGATTGTTCCCCTTTTCTCTGTCTATGAATGACATACGTGGCATATTCACACAAAGTAAATAATATACTTAATAGTTGACACTAAAGGAGATGAGTGAACTAACCAGTTTACTTCATTGTTATCGTTCAGCGAAATGAGTGAACTAACCAGTTTACTTCATTGTTATCGTTCAGCGAAATGAGTGAACTAACCAGTTTACTTCATTGTTATCGTTCAGGAGATGAGTGAACTAACCAGTTTACTTCATTGTTATCGTTCAGGGAGATGAG